ATGACCTATACTGAGTTTTTTGAGATACACCAATGTTCTCATAGACTATAAAGGTACCCTGGAAAAACAGACTGCATGCCATATTTTATTTGACTAGTGGTTGGTTGCGGTAATGGCCATTTTCATAACTTTTTTCCCTCTTATAGCGCCACCAAGTGGCCAATCATCGCGATTTTTTTCATGTGACCTCAGAATGAGCTCAGGAAAAGGTGTCCCAAGTTTAGCAAAAATATCTCATTCCAGTCACAAGTTATAACCATTCTAGTAAAAGTGGCTCTCGTGCCATCAAACATTTTGGTTCCCCTTAGCAACCGATAATTGAAATTGTGAAATTTTTTAATGATTATTGACAGTGAGACTCCAGAGAACATTTCTGAAGTGGTTTGGTTCAGATTGGGCCAAAAACCTAAAAATAGTTCTCAAAAGTTTGTTTTTCAAAAAAACGCAATTTACTCCAAATTGTCGACTGAAGGGCGAGCCAATCCGAGGCATGCATCTTGTCCGGCTGGAGCCAAGGATTCCAACGATGTAAGACACTTGAGCCTACGCCCGACGGTTGAGGAGTTATGAGCCATATTCGTACTTTTGCCCGCTGTAGCGCCCCGTCAGGCCGATCGGGGCCCGCCTTTGTGACGCTGTCGGCGGATATGAGTACTACCAGCCCACAAAGTTTCAGGTCTCTAGGACTTACGGTTCGTCCTGCACGATCAGTTTTACATGGAGAATGTTGCATTATGGGTAAATTAACAATAACAATAGGGTTTCAGCACTTCGTGCTTGAACCCCTAATTATGTGTATTTAACAAACTAATCAATACAATTACATCAAATCATGTGAAAACTAAAATATATGAAAAAATATATAAATCCGAAATATTGCAAAGGCAATTGACCTGCATACAAGTTGCACTTCGTGTATCTTGGATATCAGAACATGATGATGTGATTCCATCAGAAATGTCTACAGCCTGTCAATGTACAACTGTGGAAACACTCAGATGCTCACTCCAGTGTGCCAGAGTATGTCAATTTATCCTTATTAGCAGATAATTCTGATTATGTTAGAGATGGACACATTTCTAGCATAGCCCCTCTTCTGAGAAAGCCTAGTGATACATTTTTTTAAATCTCATCTGAAATGAGCAGTGTTGGGCCAGGCATAACGCATTCAGATTACTTGGTTGATGTTACAAGTAAAGTAATGTGTTAGAAGTAACATGCATTACATAATCAGATTACTTTTTGATCTAACAATTACAAGTAATGTGCATTACGTAATCAGATTACATTTTGTTGTTACGAATAAAGAAACGCATTACAAGTAACATGCATTACATAATCCGATTACTTTTTGATGTAACAAGTAATGCACTACAAGTAACATGCATTATTTAATCAGATTACTTTTTGATCTAACAATGCATTACAAGTAACATGCATTACATAATCAGATTAATTTTGATCAAACAAGTAATGCATTACAAGTAACATGCATTGTGTAATCAGATTACTTTTTGATGTTACGAGTAAAGAAACATTATAGGTAAACAGATATTTTTGATCTAAGAAGTAATGCATTACGTAATTAGATTACTTTTTGATGAAATGAGTAAAGTAATGCATTACAAGTCACAAATTATGTAATTACATAACTTTTATTTAGACGTCAATGAAAATTACATTCTAATAATACAACTACATTTATTTACAGTCAAAAAAAGTTACTGCAGATTAAGTATTTTCAAAAACAATATTCACAGTATAAGTATAAATTGTAGCTAAAATATAGCCATTGATGCATGAGGTGGACAGTTGATTTATCAGATTTTTCTCCCAATCTAAAATCAAAACTTGGAAAATTTTACTGTAATATGACTCATTAGATACTGCTTGATGCTGCAATATTTTTTTTACCTACAAGAGTGTCCTAGGATAGAAGGAATGGGTGGATATTCCGGAGCACCTTGGCATGTCTGACTGGCCATTGGCCATCTTGGTTTGGAGGGGAAAAAAACCAAAACTCAATGGCTTATAACTTTGTTGCAATGCATAGGATGATGCACCAGGGTCCACTGAAGAGATTGATGTGCAACTTTCCCATCAAAACCCTTGCGAATTCAAGAAAATGCTTTTTAAATAGCTGTCCACTGTAGTGACCACTATGCATTAAAGGGTTAAAGTCAGAATAATTTAGGGTTTGACAGGATTAATAAGAGAACAACCATTGAAAAATGTGTTAAGATAATTTGGTGACATATCAGGAAGAGTGTAAAATTTATTTAAATCCTAGATTACGCATATATAAAATATAATGGACCGCTTGCACTGAACTTCACGATCTTCCGTGTGGAAACAATACATATCGCTTTCATTTATGTTAACTTTCAATGTACTGCAGTCAATGAGTTGAACAAACGCCACCTAAAATATATATATATAAATATGTATAAACAAAGAGTGACGCAGGCGTGCGAGAGATCACTTCCGGCGCGTGCGCAGACCGAAGCACCCGTGCCTTCAGATCACTTGGACGTGGCTGTGGTTACAAGAGGTAAAAACGATATACTGTTTGTTTTCTCACACAAACCGCTCGTTTCGTGTCTTATGCCATCAATGTGTACTTACATATACGAGTCTTTAAATCATGTTTAATTTGGACTTCTCTGTGCATGCTCTTTGAGGTGGACCCCATAGATCTCCATTATATGACTGACAGACAAGAACAGTTTGACCTAAAAATATCAAAATTGAAACTACTGCAGAAACAAAGACACCTACATCTTGGATGCCATTGAGGTAAGCTAAAACATACCAAAAATTAATTTCAAAGTGAACTATCCCTTTTATGAAGAAAAGGTAAAACTGAAATAACAAACACAAGACCAAATGCAGGTAAGTAAACACAACACAAACAAATATTGTTCCTAAATTGGGTCTTATGTTATTAAATTAAAGATATACTCACTGACGAGGCCCCATGACCGAACAAAAGATGAATGGATAGATATCATTTTTACTACAACATGTGCTTCTTCAACCAAGGGGGTAGGCTAATCCATCAGCCGGAAGTTGAAGCTGCCTCCGGGGGCCGCCATTGTAGCGGGCTTAGGCTATCACCTGCTGTTAGCATCCCATTGACTCCAATTCATTTTGGCGTCACTTTGACAGCGAATAACTTTACATCTGAGGACTCCATTTATCCATTATTTATTTCTAAAGAAACACGACAATATAAAAGGCTCCATTACTTTGTATGTTATGTTATGGCCACGTAGAAGCCGTTCTTGTAAAAATAGGCTAAAAATTGCTTCATAACCACTCGACTGTCCGTCGCACAGTAGAGAAGTTACCGTATACGACAATTCACCATGACGTCACAACAATAAAAGACGTTCTTCCGGGTGGCAAAAGCCGAAGCGTCCCTATGGCAACACTAGTAAATTGCATGGAGGGAGACACACCGCCGGCAGAAGCCTAATCTACATTTCAACAGTTGATTCAAGAACAGACGTGGTGCAAATTCAGACATAGTTAACATGATCATTAAAGCTTAGATTCTTTGATCTAGAGACGTGCACTCCCAACACACTAGACCGCGGCGCGGGACTAGATCTTATGGCCGAGTGCGGGCGGTAATGCACTCTGTGTGTGCGGATTGCAGGAGAATAAAACGATTCGCGGGACTCCCGCAAACTAGAAATATCTATGAATAAAGCAAATAAAAACGAATACATTTGTATTCATCTGTTGCAGAAAAGCAACAAGAACAAAATAGAAATGACTTACATGGCAGAGTTTCATTTTATAACGTGACTGCAGCGATGAGCGATGTAGCCAAACACAGACATATGTGTTGATTTATTGAACGCATTGGCCAATCAGAAGCATTTACGATGAAGAAGCATTTACTCACCGCTCAAAAGAAAGTAACATAGAAAGTAATAGAAATAACTAAGTTAGTTGAGAACGTCAGTTATATAACGACCCACGTATTAAAATGGTTGGGTTTAAATCAGGCTCAGGCTCATAATTAGTAGATGACATGCACTTTTGACGACGTCCACTCGCTTTAACCTCCTCACCCACAGGTTCTGATGGATAGATTTACTTTTTTCTGAAGGAAATCGATAAAAAAAACTACACCTTTTGCTGTATATCTGGTGGCGCAACCCCAAACACAACATATTTTCGCCATAGATTCAACTTTGATCAACAAAAATTGATTTTAACTGTGTAACTGTTCAGTTGACGGCTGGATCTCTTCAGTTAGTCAATGGAAGCCGCTCGCGTTCTGCCACCCGGAAGTATCGCGGTGCCTATTGTTTACAAACATTCTGAAATGCCCTATAGACAGGAGGAGAAGCTCGCACAGGCTCGCAGGCAATCTTTTACTGTCTAAAGTCAGCCCGTGGCATAGGTCCGATTGGTCAAACATCATTCCAAAAGTGCTGATGTCACAGTCCAACAGCACTGGGGTGTTTTACTGTTCACCGCAACCTAAATGGTTGGCAACATTGAGCAATTCAACTTTTCATAAACTTCATGTTTAAATGTTGATCTTCACCTTCAGGTGGCTCGTGATGATATTACATGAGCTATTATATATGAGATTTATTCATTTCTATATGACTATCTGAACCCAACCCTCATGTGGAAATATCCTCATCACAGCATCTGGTCTGAACTCATCTCTCTCTCCTCTAGAGGGCGACAGCGTTATTGAAGAAAACACAATCAAAGTGAATGTAGTCAAGTGTCCCTTTTTATTAAAGAGTCAGAATGACAAGTCATTTCATTGCAGTCAAAACGGACAAGCCCAGGTATCTTGTAAAAATGACTCTTTTGATACATTACAAAATAAAAGTCAGAGCAAAATAGAAAACAGACCTAAAACATCTACGTCAGCCGGACGGGTGTCCGAAGAGCCATCAGAAAGACACATGACCTGAATGAGTTCAGTCTTTCTTCTTCAGCTCAGTGAAGGACATGCCGTTACAGGCAGAAGAGACATAAATACAGAACCCTTTACAAACACAGAGAAGAGCAGATCTTCCTGTGAGGTATTTAAAATAAATCATACGCTTAAAAATAAAGTTACACTCCAGAGAGATGCTGGATCCTCATTTCATATAGAAAACTGATGAAAAAAAAAATGAAAAAAGAAAATCCATCTTAATTTACTGCTTCTGCAATGGTGAGAAAGGAGACTGGGATCTGCTCTGGTCTGAAACCAACACACATTTCTGATTGTTACATATGATTTAATGATTTGGCCATTTCAGCAAATAATCAAATAAGATTGCAATGCCTACGGTTGAATCTCAAGAGAAAACGTGATATTAAAGAAACTATTAAGATACTTTTAAATTGTGAGATTTTCATGACAATTAAAGCACATTCCCCCTCCAGCTATTTAACTGTTTTGCTTTGTTATTCTCATTAGTAACGATTTAAATGTGTTTAATAGTCATGAAAATGTCAGACTGCAAAACAACCTATAAAAATATGCTTCACATTCCCCCTCCAGCTGTTTGACTATTTTGCTTTGTTATTCTCATTAGTTTTAAGATAATACAATTAAATCAGCATAAATCAAAGGCAGTAACCATGATATATTATTTATTTAAATTGTGGTAATTTAGCTGGATTATCATGAGTAATACGTTTAATAGTCATTAAAATGTCACAATGCAAAAAACAAACACTTAATTGTCCTTAATTGTCCACTGACGGTTTTTAGGGGTGAAGATAAACATTCATGAGATTCACCTCTATACACACAGCAAAACAACGATTCCCATCAGATCCAGAGAGAACCCACAATCCCTTTCTACTCAATCCAGTTTCATCAGTGGTCTGTACGGGTACATATTGATACAAAGCCACTGTAACATTATAACCAATCACCTGAACATGCACACCAGCATACCATCACATTTGTCAGAGAACTCATGAAAAGAAGGCTTAAAAATCTAAAGTGCCAGCACAAATAAATGTACACCAAAATTTGGAAAACATGGGGGGGAAATCCATGAGTACTGGACTGAGCCGGATAATCGAACCATCATGTGCACGAGAGACTGTACATCAGGGTCGAGATCCTTCGCTCGCCAATACTGAAGTTTGATGCGCTTTTGACTGTTGATTGTGATGGATTGTCGATACATTCTCCTTTCCTCTTTAAAACTACATTGAAGTTCAAGGCCAACGATAATATGAAATGTGTATAAGACAAAAAGAATCTGAAACAGCAATAATTAACATACATAAAGCCATCACCAAGGAAAACGTCACAAATGTATGTACAAAGGAGCTAATCTAGTTAAACCAGGTCAATCTGAAAATAACACTTTAGATCACAGATCTTTCATGGCAGTGAGAAGAAATTCTTTTATGTATAGCAAAATTCACAAAATGCCCCGCACTCGGAATATTCAAAATACATATCAGAAGTGTGTTTTTTCTTTTGTTTTGTTTTTGTTAAAAAAAGGTGATGACATCAATAAAATATTGCTTTGCCGTGGTGTTAAGTTCAGTTGAGAATTAACAGTGAAGATTTCACTAGAAAACTAAAGTGTGAATCAAACAGATCCAGGATCAGGATCTTGTAATAAATGCAGATGTCTAACCGTACATGCTCACAAAACGCTGTGGACCGCGACTAAACACTGAACTGATACTCATCAAGAAGTCAAATCTGTATCCTTCACATTAGCTAATCAATCATTAAAAAAAAAATCTTATAAAAAGTTATGAATAATAACAGTATCTTTTAGCAAAATAAACTTTTGAAATCTTTGTGGTAGATTCAATTTCAAGACTGAAATTTAAGAAAATGACTGCATTTCACTTTCACAAAAAGAAAAAAAAAGAAAAATTCAATTAGGTCGATGTTTTCAAAAAAAAAAAAAAAAATCACAGGCACCATTTTTGTGAACAACCTGTCCATTAACCACAAAATATCATTCATTAGGGATTCAATAGTTGGACTCCGATTGTTTGTGTAAAGAAATGAAGGAAGACTTTACTTGACGCAAGATGCAGATAAACATTAAGAGAGAAACTCTACTCAAAAAACATTAGAAAGAGACGCTTTTCTTGGTCGGATTGTTGGACATGATGTCAATTTTTCACTTGCCTCTCAGTGAAAAATAGAAAAATACAGGAATATGTTGTCTATCAAAAAGGTAAACACTCCATCATATATATATATATATATATATATATACTATATCTTATGAATAGCATTTTTCAGAATCCTGATTCTCTAACTACACCACAGTTATTATTCTGTATTTGGTCCATATAAATGTAAAATGTTATGTTTATTTCAATACCTGAAGTAAATCAAAATAAAACGTAAAAATGACCCCCAAAAACCCAAGCTGAAACAGCTGACTGAGACTTGCTCATGGATTAAATTGGTAATTGGATGTCCAGAATTTACAAAAGTACAGTGCAACTTACTGTACAAAAAGAGGAATGAAAAGAACACACCCACACACACCAAAAAAAAAACAAAACAAACAGATAGCCACATTCCCGCACCCCTGAGCTAAGGGACGAAATATTAAGGAATAAAAACTGACTCATTTTGATTCAGACCAGCACTTAATCGATCGCATTTTGCACCTCAAATCTGATCCTCATAAACATCCAGCAGGAGGAGACAGAGCTCAGATATCTGTCACTGGCGCTCAACGATCATTTTAGTCAAACACTGAGTAATACTGCTATCAAGCATCAAGCCCATGCAAATACTTATGAATTCATAAAGGCATCTACAGTCAGAAAACAAAAGATGTGGACGGTTGAGGGACTGAAAAAGAGAGTGCAAGCCAACCGAGGAAACCGTTTCGATCCGTTACTGACTGGGTCATTTATTTGCTTACTTCCTTTTTTCTACCGTATTTAAAAAAACAAAACAAAAAAAAAACATGCACAGTCGGTCAAGTGTCACTCGCACAAATAGATCACCCAATGAGAATGAAATAAGTGCTTGGCTTTCAAGTAGTAGTTTTACAAAAAAAAAAAAAATCCATTCAATTTGCTCTTACAATAATCATGATAAGAAAAGTTCCCGATCTCAAAACGACAGAAATGATGCTGAGGGGGAAGAGAAAACCGGCAAGCGTGAAGTAACCAATCAAATGTCATGGATACCAGGTGGTAAACTTTGCAATGCTGCTCCGCCCTCGCCCTCTCAGAGACGTGTAAGATGGGCTCAGTCGAGTTTCTTCTGAGGAGCGTGGTGGTCTCTCGGGCTGAAATCAGCGCAGAAGCCGTTGGCGTGAGGAGGGGAGCTGCTGCCGAATCCTGCATTTTCCGAGTAGAGGAACTGCTCAGCGAACTCGGGATGCTCCTCTGCAAACTCCCTAAAGCTCTCTGCCACCAGGTGGCGTCAGAGGAACAACCAGAGTCAGATTGGGAAACAGACATGTTTCTACAGAACATACGGCCTAAATGTTTCTGTTAAGCACACCTTGTGGGAATTATCCCCAGAAAACAATCAGACTTTAAAGATATTAATGTTATTCATCACTAAATTACACCAGAATGAAGCATGAGGCCTCCTGAGTTACTACTACACTTGGCTCTAATGCATGAGCATGTCCCTGTAGGGTCGCACGAATTATGTAATGCATATATGGTTTTGGTTTTATTTCAATTGACCCTTCGCTCCCCCCTCCCCTTAGTTACTGTTTCTAGGTCGACAAGCCATGGTGCTGTCACACCACACATCGTGTTCTCACCAAAATACATTCCGACAGTGACGTTGTCAGATCGCCTGCCAATGAGTCTCCTGGTGAAGTGTGACTCAATCATGCAGATCTAAACTGACACGGTAACTACAAGTGTCAAGTCATAACAATAACATCACTAATGAATCATTCCAAGATACAAGGATTAAAGGGATAGTTCACTTTGAAATTAATTTTTGATGTGTTTAGCTTACCTCAAGGCCATCCAAGTGTCTTTGTTTCGACAGTATTTTCAATTTTGATATTTTTAGGTCAAATAGTTCTTGTCTGTCAGTCATATAATGGAGGTCAATGGTCACCACCTCAAAGAGCAGGCGCGGAAAAAGCAAAATTAAACATGATTTAATGACTCGATTTAATGATTTAATAAATGCAAGTACACATTGATGGCCTAAGACACGAAACGAGCGATTTGTGTGAGAAAACGAACAGTATATCGTTTTTACCTCTTGTAACCACAGCCACGTCCAAGTGATCTGAAGACACGGGCGCTTCTATCTGCGCAAGCGCCGGAAGTAATCTCTTGCACGGTTGCGAAAAACAAAACAAAAAAAAAACGTTGTCTGTTGGTATATCGAAATCGTCTTCCATTGCAATTTCCTGTTTATCTAAATATGTTTAGATCTTCACAGTGAAGGATAACGCTTCTGAAATCTCTATGTAAACAATGAGTGACGTACACACATGAGAGATCATTTCCGGGGCTTTCCGGCGCTTGCACAGACCGAAGCGCCCTCGCCCTCAGAGTACTTGGACGTGAATGTGTGAGAAAACGAACAGTATTTACATTTACGAGTCATTAAATCATGTTTGGACATGCTCTTTGAGGTGGTGACCATTGACCTCCATTATATGACTGACAGACAAGAACGGTTTGACCTAAAAATGTCAAAATTGAAACTACTGTGGAAACAAAGACACCTACATCTTGGATGCCCTTGAGGTAAGCTAAAACATACAAAAAATTAATTTCAAAGTGAACTATCCCTTTAAGAATGCTATCTGAGACTTTCATACAGGAATGAATGGTTTCCTTACCGAAAGTGATTTTGCCAGTGTCCTCTTCATCGATGGCTCTGAACAGACGGCTGACTTTGAGTTTTCCAACGCCCAGCGCCGTCCTCAACACACACATCAGCTCGTTCTCTGTGATCGCACCGTCCTCTTCTGCCTCGAACATCTGAAAGCAATGCATACATCTCATCTCATAGCTGAGCATCACCACTGCATTGATCAATTACTCTGGGCATAACCTATTTGTTTTTAGGAAAAGTCACACACCTTGAAGGCCAACCTGATGGTGTCAAGTGTTTTTGCAGGCCGACACACCACAGAGAACGCGATCACAAACTCTCGGACATCCACCGAGTTGTCTTCATGCTACTCAGGGAGAGAGAAAAGACGGACCTAATTCATTGAACTGAACATGAGAAACGGCTAATGTATGAAAAGATGGAGGGAACAACAAATCATATGCTAATAAATGTCATGCTAGGCAACATTAGGTCTGTTGTTTAATACAAATTACTTGCCAGTGATTGAGTTAGTTTAAATACATTAAGGACAGATATATTTCAATTGTGCGTCGAGCATTTACACTGTTTTGAGCATTTCAACTGCATTCAATATTCAAATAAAATGAGAATACAACAAATTGGACCGCAGAAAGTTAGATTTTCATCTTTTGAGTGCACTATTCCACTATCTTTCTTTCATACGTACACGCAAAGAGCGAGTCTTATTTTTTTTCCAAACAGAATTCAGCTGGATTGTTAATTATATTAGCTTTTCACATTAAACTAAACCTTTGAGAACAAGCATCAATCCCTGAATTTGACAAAAATCCAAAGACAGATTTTTTTTTTGATAGTACAGTATTAGTATAAGTAGTATTTAGTGTTGTTTTTGGCGACCTGTTTTAATTGTTTTAAGTTCTGTTTAATATAACAAATGCACTCATACATCGTTGCCACATTTTAGTTTTTTCTATTAATTTAGTTCAGTCGTTGTGCTTTCAAGTCATTTTATGAAGAGAAGCCGAATCGATTTTAGAAAGTGCCATACAGGGTTATATTTAAAAGCCAAAGAACAATATACCTCGTCAAAGAGAGCAAACATGTCTCTGAGTACGTCCGACACGGGCAGGTCAAGGAACTCGGCGAAATCTTCAAGACTCAGTCTCTCGCCCTGGAGTTTATGAGCCCTGTTCCCATAATCCTGCAAGAGCTTCTCCGAGTTCTCACGCTTCAACCTGAGATTTAACATTTACACAGTATCAGCACACAAATGAAGGAGCAAACCTTATCTGCAGAGGTTATCATTACGGGATTTACACACAGTATTTGGGCCCTATGGTTTCCGTGAACGGGAATCGGAGAATCCAATGGACTAATATGGCAATATGGAGTCATGCCTGTGAATATTATAGACAAACTCAAAGCTCTTAAAAAAAATAAAATAAATAAAAAAATTAAGAAATTGTGAACTACTGCATGGTAAAATATTCTTAAATTAATACTAATAATTTTTTTGTTTTACTTTATTTTTAAGGAATGCCACAATTTTTTCTTCCATGTTTTCATTTTAACAGTACATTTCTTTTTTTTTATTTTTATATTTATTTTAGTTTGATTTTAATGAATTAGACATGCTTTTTGATTACTACAATTTCAGTTAACAGAATTTACTCAAAATAAATAAATAAAATCTGAGATAAATTTAAACGGATTTCATAGGACCCTAAAAATGACATTTTTGTTAAAAACTTTGAATAATTATTTTGTTTGTTGTCAGTGCTGTAATGAGACTCACCCCAGACTCCGGACCAGTTTAGCAAACTCCAGCAGACACGTGTCCACGGGCAGCTTGATCTGACCCTCAGCCATGGCTAGCTGACAGTCTTCAAACGAGTAGTCTGTCACGGGGACCTGCAGGGCCCTTCACACACAACACATCTTTGTTACACACCCGCTATCATTTCATTCAGGGACAAATTATGCTCTTCAGATCCAGAAGAAACCACAAAATAGGTGAATCTCACAAAACCTGTAATAAACATGTCACATTTCTTCCCTATGTACAAAGTAAAAAATATTATATATATATATAAGAATATAAAATATATATATATTAGATTTTTATTTAAGCAGTATAAATTAAGGTATTACCACCATCGTACATAAATACTGAAGTTTTTAATATTAAATCTTTGTTTTGTCCTTAAATGTTATATTAAAAGAATGTAATAATTATTTAAATGATGCAACAAACTGTATATTATTTAAATACCATTTAAGACATTTATTTTAACACCATTAATGTATGAATTTATTTGATTTGGGCTAATTATTTATATTCTTTATACTATAATTGAAATAGCGAGATTCTTCCATTAAGGCCCGATTACAACTAAATGAAAAAAATAAATATATATATATATCAAATAAAACTATATATATATATATACTGTATATATTTGCATAAACTTGTGTACAGGTCACATAATTCAAAAGGCTACAACAGGTTATCTAACTTTAATTTACAAGCATTTATGTTTATACAGAAAACATTATCTTGCGATCCCACTCCCCAACAAGTTGACAGACACTCCAGACATTGATGGACAGCGAGGAAAGCTCAGATCTTACTTTGCCATCAAGCTGCGCACATTGTGAGCGAAGAGCGCTGGATTATTCTTCTCCTCCTCTGAGGGCGAGTATATGGGCAGATACTGAGAGAAAGGAATAGAAAACCAGTCAGCAGTTTCCTGGAAACACGTCTATGCAAATCCAGGTCAAGTGAAGTCCAGGCTCAGAGACGCAGCCCAAACATGTTCACGACAAGCTTCACTTCCAGCACGATTCAAGCTCCGGAGTGCGAGACGGAAAACGAGGTCGCTCCCATAATGACATTGGAAGAATTTACATGCATCACCTCGTCCCTTAAACTGTACCACTCATAATTAAAGCCTCTTTACCACATTCATGGCTGCTTTCTGAAAATGGGAGAATTTGCAGGAATCTCAACTGAATAATCAATAAGGAAGACAAAAACCATCAGTTTAATAAAAAGAAAAGAAAAAAAAGTTTTCTGAACTGTTTTCTGTAGTTAAGTTTTCTATACTGAAGCTGTACTGAACTGTGACTTTAAAACCAAGATACAGGTACGTACCAGACAGACAGACAGATAATTCAGACACCTTCAACATTTCTCACAGTTTAGAAAATGCCAATAAAATATGACAAGAACAATATGACTGTTGATATTTCACTGGTTTTGGCCATTTTTCTGTTAGGCCGGAAAAACACTGGCTGTGTGGCGTGAGCGTGGCGTGAGTGTGGCGTTTCTGTTGCGTATCACCTGCGGTGGCTGCGTCGCGTTTTCTGTGTCTTTGTACACTTGAAATGTGTCTGACATTGAGGGACTGTCTACATTTTGATTAGCAGTGTGTTGCTCTTGCCTTTACGACGACAATTTCAACTGTTATCACACCTTCCAAAATCTGAAAAATAGGGAAGTGTGCTGTCTGTTTATTTCAATAACATTTACAAATTTTGTGTAGCTTTAAAGAGCCAATATCTCTGGTGCTGGACGAAAACAGAATTTATTAACGTGTTGCCTGCTGTGGTTGTTTTAAAGGGGTGATGAACTGAGAAATCAAATTTTCCTTGAGCTTTTGACATCTAATGCTACGTTCACACCGGACGAGAATCGCGCGTCAAATTCGCGCCTGACACGTCTAGTTTGACGCTTGACCACTTTGTGTTAATTCGCGTGTCAAGAGCGAAACTGGCGCGCGTAAAAACAAAAGTTTGAAGCGAAAATTACACGTGTGACACGCGTCAGAATCGAAATCCGTTGGCGGCCATTGTTTTTATGTCGACCGAGCATTCATCTAGCAAGAGTTACTGCTCTTTATTTACTCTGGAGAGCAGAACAGCGGCGTGGGGATCATCGTCGCCGTATATTGTGTCCACCGGACCCTTCTGAGGGGAACCGTTTGGCGAGTTTCACCATTTGCTCGCTCCAGGAGCTGCGCTGGATGACGGCCGCTGTCAGCGGTACTTCCGCCTGTCACGCGCCCAGTTTGATGACATCTTGTCCCGCATCGGAGCGAGGATCACCCTCGCCCTCATCCATCTAATCTAGCTGTCATTTATTTTTGTTTTGATGATAAATAGAGCCAGCCTTCAAAAGTTATTAACCTGTCCTGTGATTTTTTTTCTCTCTCTCACGTCCAGACACGAATTTATGCACATATATGTTGATTGTCTTTACAACATAATTCTATTTCAAATAATCTAGCTATGGAATGAATAACATTCAATACAAAATGAACATGTCTCGTATATAGAAATAATGTTTTAAGTGATAAAACATTTGCTTTGTTGTGCATAATCCCACCATGCATTTAGTCATATTAACAAAATAATTTATTGAAGCATCCAGACACTTCACCACGTGAGCAAGCAGCTAAGCTCCTGATTGGTTAACGCGGTGTGAATTCACGCCAAAGTTCAGATTTTTCAACTCGGGCGGCAGACGCGAATTCGCGTCAAACGCGTGAATGCACAAATGGCACTGAATCATTCGCGCGTAACGCGCCAGACGCTCAATTCGCGCCATTCGCGCGAACGAGGCGTATTCGCGTCTTCCGCTCCACGCCTCATTCGCGCCGTAGGAATTTTTCACGGCCGTAAAGCGTCTTTGCATTGACTTAACATTGAAATCATTCGCGCCTGATGCCCTATTCGCGTCCGGTGTGAACGTAGCATAAGAGGTCATCATATTAAAAAAATATCCTGTAAGTTTCAGAACTGAAAACATCCTTGTAAGTCCAATAAAAGCTTTTATTGACACCAGCCTCAGCAAACGACTCATTTTTAAAAGTGGGGAACTATGACGTCAAAGAGGATAAAACACCACCCCCGCAGAAGAAGATCAACTCCTACTTCAACACGGCCGGATTAGCCCCGCCCACCGATTCGCGCATTACACACATAGCTAAATAACATAGACTCCTACCTCGTGATGAAAAACCGGATCGAGCTACCGAGCAATACAAATATTGTGCAATGCCTGGTTGTGGAAGAAGACGTTGCATATGCTTCCTCAGGATTCCAATAGGACTGCATGGATAAACTTTATTTTTAATGACGTTCCAGCTGATGAGGTAAAACCGTCTGTTCGCTTAATTTCACTGAGGATTGTTTTGTAAACAAGAGTGGATTTGCAGACCGATTAAGAGTAAAGAACGGTGCTGTGCCGTCTATATTGGATCCAACAGGAATTGTGCAACACACAGACTCTGGGTCGAATCATTCCGGTTGCCATTTTACAACATTTTCAAAACAATTTTCCCCACGTACACCGACGAGGTGAGTTGAGACTCATTATAATATGCAAAATTGTTATCCACTCACAGCAGTGGGCGTTTACTTCCAAGTCTTCAGTGCGAGACGCCCATAAAAACCGAGCGTTTCTGAGCTGGGCTTAAAACTAGGGTAGAAAATAGCCTATTACTTATTCATTTTGATGTTTTTGAATGCAAAAACCAAGCGAACGTCATAAGTTCACCTTACAATATAACAATATAGACAATATAGACAACTAGTGTTGTCAAACAACTCGGTACTTCGGTACCAAGTCGGTACTAAAAAAAAAAAAAAAGTTACGGTACCAGCTTTTCTAGGTACCGAATACCAGGTTAATCCAGTTCTAGACGCGCTGTCTGAAAGGTGCACAGTTGCGTCCTGATAACGCTGATATGGCTCTCTCTCTCTGAATCCACTTGTTGACACGAAAGGAGGAAAGAGCCACATATGGAAATATTTTGGATTAGGCTAATGTCACGTTGCCATAAGAGGCCGATTACATGCAAATTCGCAATTTAAAATATAGGCGTGATTCAAGCGCGCTCATAATAAAAACTCGTTGCATAGCAACGACAGACGCCGCGTGAGAGCAAGCGCTTTGGAAAGAATAAGCACGCGCAAAAATATAAAAAAAAAAAACACGCGCGATATGTGAACGGCCTCTAAAGTGCTTTCGGGGTAGTTTTACGAGTACATGAGCACAATAGTATCCAACCGACACCAGAGTACTGGTATTAGAACCGATGCATCCCTATTTATGTCATTTAATGTCAGTGCCAGTTCTAGGCGTATTCTTGCCTTTATAACTCAGCAGTTTTACAAAATTAAATATGAATGCAGTTTTAGATTAAATAAAAGTACAGTCAAATCAAATAAAACATGTTTTTTCTCCTGTAGCCTATGTTTGGTAATGCTACAATAAGATACCATTTATCAACATTAGCTACTTCACATCAACACATTGAGTGAACAATATATTTTTACAACATTAATTAATGTTTGCAAATGTTATTTAATAGAAACACTTGATTGTTCATGTTTGTTCACTTCATTAATTGTGCATTAAATAAATGTTAACGGATTAGAACTTTACAAACTTTAAAAATGTGTTAGTGTATACTATTGTTTATTTTAGGTCATTTTATCTATTTTTTTTCTAAAGTGTTTATAATACAAATGTACAGTTTCCATACTTGTAACCGTGATAAACACTTAAATATATGTAAATTTAAACTAAGCTTTGGTACCGAAATTGGTACCGAGAACCGTGAATTTTTACTGGTATTGGTACCGAATACTGAAATTTTGGTACCGTGACAACACTATAGACAACAATATAATAAAATTTAAAAAGCCAGTTCATGACCCCTTTAATTCACATGCTTTCTAAAAATATGAAAGTTGTTGGTTTAATATACAAGAAAGTCAGTTAATTAATTTCATGTTGTTTTATATTTTATTTGTTCATTATTTACTTTGTTGTATTTAAGTTGGACTTTTTGACTAATTATCAATAGCTATCTGCATGATGCCTGCTACCTTTGGGCTCAGTGATGTTGAATTTAAATGACATATTTTAAAATAATTACATAAAATAATTACATAATGACAATTTTTAAAAAATTTAAAAAACATGTTACATTGTGATGTATCTGGAAGGGACTAAACAACAAAGAATTTGGATCAGCTGAAAGGCAGAATGCATGTGTTTTTATTTAGTTAGACATTATATATATTTTATTAAGATAGACATTATATAACAGTTTCAGGTTAGAGAGAGAGAGAGAGAGACTCACCTCAATCTGAAACTCATTATGAAACTGGCACAGAGTCAACCACAGGATCTTAAATCTGCAAAAGAACAAGTTTACACTTAGGAGACGTTTCTCAATGTTTAAAATTTTATTAATTTCTCTTCTTTATAACAATGTTTTTTTCTAGAGTTCTGCATTTCAGTCTGGTGTCGGTCCTTTGGTAGTGCAGATCCAGCTCGACCATTCATTTCCATACAGTACTGCAGCTATGAAGGATGATAACAGGTTCAATAAAAACCTCTGATATGAAATATGGCACTTACGCTCCAGGCCCCTGCCACGTCCAGGTAATAGTGTCCTGTCATGGGGAAAAAAACACATTAATCCATCAAAATAAAGTGGAAACCTAACCTTATGAAAGCTTGTTTCCACTGTGGAATAAGTTGGTAATTGAAACTTTTTTTCCCCTGACAATTCTTTTTCTCCCAATTCTGATTTTAATTTGGACTGTAGATGAAATTTAGCTTTGTAGCTTATTCTGGGGCAGTCATTGATCATCCACTGTCCATCTTAAATTACATTTTAATTCTTGCAATCTCACGTTTGCCTTTTGTGCCACAGAATTCTGCTTGTTAATGCAGTCATGTTGTCCAAAACTCTGGGCAAAAACAGAATTGCGAGATGAAAATTTGAGATTCCGAGGGGGGAAAAAAAGTCAAAGTCCGAATTGTAATCTTAGTATGACTTTTTTTATTCCATGGTGGAAACACGCTCCCAAAAACTAAAGCTTCAACACAGCAGAATTTATTTATTTTTTCGACATGGATGTCTTATTAGAATGTTATTGTATGAATTGACAGACACAATTCCCTGAACTGGGGTGCTTAGCCAACAAACATGGTCATTGATCATGATCATATAGATTACCTATATAGATTACCTAGATTATCATTGATCATATAGATTACCTAACATGAATTATCTTTATAAAGGTTTCTAAAATGACAAACCACATTCAGCTATTGTATTTAAGAATAAAAATATAAGCCAAGACTGACTGACAAGTAACGCAACCAATCATAGTTTGTTTTGTTCCACGTCATGTTTAGTGTGAAAATGTGAAGTCCCTACAATAACAAACCGGCATTTACATCTAATAAATCAATCATTCAAGAAAGTAGTGCAAGTTTGTAGCAACAACAGAGCATTAATCCAGCATTTAGTTGACCCTGATATGAGAGCTCATTGTCACAGTTTTAAATATGACGGCACCCTTCTTCCACGAGGGGTTTCGCGTAACGCCATTTACAATTAGTCAGGAGAGGTGTCGTATTTTTCCAGAGAAGGCAAAAAAATTGAAAAGGATTGCTGAAATTTAAAGCTGGTTTATAGCATACCAAGAATACAGACTTTGCTGTCATTAGTAATGTAGTGTTTATTTATTGTTAAATTATTGTAGTTGGGTTAGGTGGCTTAGGTTTTATTGTGAATTTCTGATGCCAATTTAGACTACTAAAACTATATTTATATATACTAATTTTAATATATATTTTTTTTTTCAATAAAAAAGTACATTTGTTTTAAATATCATTCACCATCGTTTTGAAGCTCTTTTTTCAAAATCTTTCAATTCAGGCAACAGTACCTTTTTAAAGGGTTAGTTCACCAAAAAATGAAAATTAAGTCATTAATTACTCACCCCCATGCTGTACCAACCCCGTAAGACCTTCGTTCGTCTTCAGAACACAAATGAAGATATTTTTGATTAAATTTGAGAGCTGCATAACTACCACATTGGCTGCCTAAGGGACTGGCTCTTGACGGCCCAGAAAGTCAATGAAGAAAATGTTTAAATATTCCATGTGACTACCGTGGCTCAACTATACGTTTATCAAGCGACGAGAATACTTTTTGTGCGAAAAAACAAACAAAAATAACGACTTTATTCGACTATTCCCTTTTCTTCCTTGTTGGCCTGAAACGAGACTTCCTTAGATTTCCACGACGCATGCGCGAGAACTGAACTGAAGTAGTTGAAGGAGAGCGCAATTCTCGCGCATAGTTGAGCCACTGTAGTCACATGGGATATTTAAACATTTTCTTCATTGACTTTCTGGGCCGTCAAGAGCCAGTCCCTTAGGCAGCCAATGTGGTAGTGAGACAGCTCTCAAATTTAATAAAAAATACCTTCATTTGTGTTCCGAAGATGAACGAAGGTCTTTCGGGGTTGGTACAGCATGGGGGTGAGTAATTAATGACTTAATTTTCATTTTTGGGTGAACTAACCCTTTAACAAGATTGATTTGACACTGGTACCGAAAAAACCCCAAACAATACCCAACCCTAACTGACAGCTTTCTGAGTTTGTGTGCTCAGAAAACAATATATCAGAAATTTAAACACATATAGCTTTAAAACACATGCAAACAATAAACGTTCATGATGAAGAAGAACTGTAATGTCACATGAGCGTGACCGCGATAGAGATGATAATAAAAACCAAACAGATGTTTCGTTAGTTTTCGACAGAGTATCCGAGGCACGGAGGCGGGAAACAGCGGCTCATTTGCATTTCAGATACATGGACGAAAACAGCATGTTTTTGCTTCCACTCAAAAAAATGATCATATCGGATATACTGTAGAATCAAGAAAAAAGTCAAACGTCTCACCAGCTTGTTTGGGTAGCGGATCACTACAGGCTGTACAGGAACTGCTGGAATGAACGCTCCTGAACCACACAAACAAACAACATCAGCACATCATGTACTGCACAATTGTTATGCTCTAAAGAAACAAAAGGTTGCATTTGCATAAAATTCTCACAGAACGCCCTGAACAGAATGCCTAGAAAACTGATTAGTCATTTTATAGTTTCAGAAGAGCTTTATTGCCAAGTGAATTTTTCTTGTTAATGAAGCTTCCAGTGCACACATAAATACAACACAACAAAATTAAAGAATAAAAATATGAAGTATAAAGAGACAGTTAGGTTAAGTTAGAATAGACATATTTACGGAGTAGTAACATATTTACCATATTATGGATAATATTAATAAACAGGAGTGAATTTACAAGAGCACATACACACCTGGTTTAAAGGTGATTAGACAGGATCTATTGGTGCACGTGCCCTCAGGAAATATCATTATCTGGAAGACACAGATTTTATGATCTGTCCACAATTATTCATAATTTCACTTAATCACACTATGTGACATGATGACTCTCCATACTCATTGCATTTTAGGGAAATTATTTGAAAAGAAATGCAAACTCACAATGTCCCAATCATATGACTACAAAATATTAAATCCAAAATGTTTACAATTATAAATAGTCATCGAAGCAGCACAGAAAAAGGGAAAAATGACACGGAGTAAATTGAAATTGCATTGCTATGATTTACATTGGGTATGGAAAGTATTCAGACCCCCTTAAATTTTGCACTCTTTGTTATTTTGCAGCCATTTGCTAAAGTCATTTAAGTTTGTTTTTTTTTCCTCATTGTACACACAGCACCCCATATTGACAGAAAATTATATATAACAAAGAGTGAACAATTTAAAAGGGTCGGAATTAGGGATGCACCGATCCACATTTTTTCACTTCCGATCCGATCCCGATACCTGACTTTGGATATCGGCCGATACCGATACTTTTCCGATACCAGAGCTGTGTTTGCTTTAATAGTATTTATCATTATTGTTGATTTTATATGATGCTGAAATAAACTCCTCTCTACAGGCAAGGATGATATGTACATATGTATGTTAATATATATATATATATATATATATATATATATATATATATATATATATATTAAACAATAGATAGACAATTAAACAAAGATACACATTATACAGGCCTACACAGTGCTTTAATTTCAGGAAGGTCTACAAACATTAGGCTATTCAGGTATGGTCTTAAAAAGAATTATAATAAAGTAATCAAAAGTAAAATAGCACTGCAAAGTTTATCATAGATAGATTTATGCTTATTAAAGCTGAAGTAATTCATTCAAGAGCTGTGAGTGATTTTCTCTTTGCCTTTGGTTGTTTGATTCTCAGTAATGTCGCAATCGTCACATTTATACTGCTGCCCCTTTAAGAACGAGTTCAGATTTCATAGTCTACTGATGCACCATATTTTCTCCCAAATATTTCCATAACTACGTTCATTTTAGACATAATAAATTGTTTAAGTGTTAATCTCCAAGTCGGTCGGTTTGACATTTTTCTTGTGCAGGCTACATTTGATCGTTTAGACGCGCATATGAAGCCCAGAGTATAATTTGCTTGTCTTGTTGCGGTCTGTTTCGGAGCGCGCGCCGCACTGGGAACAGCATCTCTTGCGCAAATTTTGTGCTTTTAATAGCTCTTTTTATTATTAAAAGCGTCCCGCAATTTAGTAACAGCAGAGACTGCATTTTACTACAATCATCGATCGTGCTGATTCTGTCTTAAAGTTTGAGTTTTAGGGAGAAATGACAGCGCACCGCCGCGATGGGAAGGAAGTTGGCTAGACAGAATGCGGCTATTGTTTTTAATGGTTTTTTACCTCAATATATTCTTTAATATTTGGAAATCAGACTAATATCACAGATCTAAAGTGTAACCAGGCTACGTTTACTCTGTCGTCACTCATTACGCCGGGCTGTCATGTTGTGCTTGCTGTTGCACCGCGTGAGAGATCTCTCTCTTTCTCTTCTGGACTGCGAATTGCAAACATGCATCAAATAGTTTAATTAATACGGCTTTGCAAACATTGCACTTTGCTGTCTTGCTCTGCACTGCAGCGGTGTTTCCAGTTCCACCATATGATTTCCACACAGCGAACATGTTATAGCTCAGTGCTATCCTGCTAGCTGGCTGCAAACTGCGGAATGGATTTCCTGAGCGGGGGTGTGTCTCATTGAGCCCTATGTTTTACAGTCACTGATTGAGCTGCACCTCCGTTCAGGGTATCCATTCCACAGTTTGCAGCCAGCTATAGCAGACTAGCAGGCCCGGCGGGAATCACTTTTGAGTCATTTCAGCAGACAACGTTAAAGCGCAGACATGGATCATAAATATCGGATTTCTCCGCAGGTTGGATCGGAAAAATCCGATACGTGAATTATGCTGGTATCGGTCCCGATACCGATACTGGATCGGATCGGCCCCATCCCTAGTCGGAATACTTTCCGTACCCACTATAAGTGCATGTTTGTGCTAAATTGTTTTATTGATAATCGATTATTTTTTCCATATTTTCTCCGTGCCCTCGATATCACTTTCCATTATGTTAGTCTTTTGTAAAATGCATTTAAGAAAATACTTTTCCTTAAATGACATCATCCTGAAGCAAGTGACATCCTTTTGGAGGCATATCAACACCAGAAGAATCAGTAAGTATTATCAATGGATCTGAGGTTTTGTGCTGTTAGTGGGTTTGTCTAAAACATTTAGTGTGCACTCTAAATGTGCAAGCTCATTAGTCTAACCTACTAGACTGCAACACTAAAAACACTATGTGTGCACTCGCTAGATGTGTTATTGTAAAATGAGGGACATAATTGATAATGTCAAATTGCACATCATCAAAACAATAATCACAATATAATCGTAGACGATATACAGTATATTGCACACCCCCAAGTCTCACTTTTGGAAGTATTGTAATAATCCAGGCTGATTGAGAGTTTTTGACTTGTGACGGGGAACGCTGTCAAATCACTAGCCGATCTGGCGTGTTACTCCGTTTACTCACTTTGCAGGGGAAGTTTTTATTGTGAGTAGTGAGTCATTATGATGTATTAAATAAAGCGTATAGCGCAGAATCTGCTCATATCTGGCTTACTTGAACATGCCCGTCACTACACAACAAATAATGTTGCGCTTGTTCATTTGCATTAAAGTAAAAGAGAAGATTAAAAAGCATTTGGTTAACAGAAGACAACAATTTCCAATTTCCTACAGAAATACTATATATATATATATATATATATATATATACACAATAAATATAGATATATACACTATATATATATATATATATATATACACACACACTATAAATATATCTATATATATATCTATATATATATATATATATATATGAAGAGTTCAGATGCAAAAACCTCTAAGTGCCATTTGAAATTTTCTTCTAAAATGATCATTTTTATCAAGCTTGTATATTTAAGTTCAGTAATTTCACTTAAAGGGCACCTATTATGGAAAATTCACTTTTACATGGTGTTTGAACATAAATGTGTGTTGGCAGTGTGTGAGCAAAACCACCCTAGAACGATAAAAATCCATCCAGTAGTTTTTTTTACAATCTCAATAAATCATATGCACTGTCTCAGAACGAGCTGTTCTGAGATCCAGCTCTTTGTGACGTAGAACGGGAGACAGGGGGTTGATTGACAGTGTGGCTGTGGCCTAGACCCCGCCCTCGGTGATCTGTACACACCATCCTTCATTGTTTCAACGACGACAGCCTTTAATGTCTCTTGGAAACGTAAATTTATGTTCTGTCGTGGACTCGTGGGTTAATCCTGTTGTTGTGGCTTAAAAGTTAATCCTCAAGTGTGGATTGTCGTCTACTGTTTGCGATCCATTGTCACCTCCAGTAACAGTAAGTGTATTTTATGATTTTTGAGCAAATAGTCTTTTCAGTCAATGTCAGCCAATTCAACAACAAATGCGTCTAAAGTTATTGCCGTCATAGGATGTCTGTGTATATAATTTAAACCTTGTTTGTATAGTGTGTAACCACACGTTTATAAATATATATATTTTTAAAGATATTGTATTAGAAACTGCATATATGTTGGTGTTCTGTAAGTTAGCCATCTTCTCACATTTGCCACAGAAGCACCTATGACAAGTAGCTAAACATGACGCCACAGGTCCCTCGCATAAATGTAATTTCGCTCGTACGTAGCAAACTTTATCACAGAATGTGTATGTAGTTTCAAAAAATTGCGCTAGTGTCTGTGTGTGTGTGTTGGACATCCATCATTTCAAATGGGACGCTATTACAACTCTAAAGTACATAAAAGTATCAAATAACCATACCGAGACGTACTGGTCCATTCTCATTTGTTTATTCTGCCGGAGTCTCTTCATACTATTTATATATTCCGATTCAAACGTACTCTGAATGACATTCAATATGGCGCGTCTCTTCACTCTCTCAGTACCGACTGCCTGCCATAGGTATCAAGTTACGCCCTCATCCAAAGGCAGGGCGGGGATATGCAGCTCATTTGCATTTAAGGTGGTATACCCCCTGAAACAGCTCATTTTTAAGCAGGCCCCAAAATGACATTTTCAAATGGTTATAATAAATTAACTGTGGGGTATTTTGAGCTGAAACTTCACAAATACATTCTGGGGACACCAGAGACCAATATTACATCTTGTAAAAAGGGGCATAATAGGTGCCCTTTAAATGGCAATGAAGATTACCTATTAATTGGCATTTAAGTGAAATTACTGAACTTAAATATACAAGCTTGATAAAAATGGTCATTTTAGAAGAAAATTTCAAATGGCATTTAGAGGCTTTTACATCTGAACTCTTCATATATATATATATATATATATATATATATATGTGTGTGTGTGTGTGTGTGTGTGTGTGTGTGTGTGTGTGTGTAATCTGTGACATAGTTCATTTGGTTTATTATTTCTGGCTAGTAGAAGTTCTGAATGGCAGGTAACTTAAAAATGTAGTTGCATAATTGGGAGAAAAAGTTCATGTCAAACCCTGCTGGTCATACCTGAGGCCACTCTCCTCCCGAATGAGCTCTTCTCTTGATCTCTTCCACCGTCTTCCGTCTGGAGTCCTGATCTGATCGCGACACAAACACAGGCCGGATGAATTTGATCAGAGCTGGAGGAGGGAGAGATATGATCACATGGGTCACATGCACAGGTTCAGAAGGTCACGCAATGCTGTGAAAGCTCATCTACCCTGGTGCGAAGGCTTTTACAAAGGTTTTTAAAGGTGACGAGCTATTTTTACTCTCGAGACTTTAATGAGCTGCTTGATTGCAGGATCTGATTCAATGACACATTGAGGACAGTGTTAAATGAAACACTATCGGGTGAATGAAAGAAATATTGTGTTTCCCATAACAGGGTGAATCTCACAGAAAACGCTTGGTCATTTGTCACCCCAAAGGGCTGTTCATCTAATTAATGAAATACATTTATGCAAGACTAAAATGAAATGTTTCCACATCAAGCTGTGTGGAATTACATATGCTTAACTGTCATCTTCATGGTTTACAAACTTTAGATTTTATTATATTAGTAGTGTGTCGATATTGTTTTTTTGTTATGCCCGATGCCGATATCTTAGAGAGCACGGGGGCCGATGGCCATTGTAAAGCCGATATATATATATAAATACTTTATATTTATTTGAATTAATGTTTAATAAATTAGAATTCTCTGTTCAGATATGTTGAGACGTCACAAGGTCACACTCTTTCACTTCCCTACAGCTACTGCTGAAACTCCTCATCACTGCAGCAAACAGGAGCGTGAGCTCTGGAGGTGTGTGGAGGAAGAGCTGATGATGGTGATGATGATGATGATCAAGATCACTGCTGAGTGGGAGAGCAGATATGGACGGAGATCTTCACTATCGAGGGATTAAGCTGCAGCATGAGGCTCAGAGTCGCCCGGCTGATCAGGGACTTAACGCCTACACCAAAATTAGCATGCACTAACCAGCTTCATCTAATTGCTCGGCTCTCAAAGGTGCATTACATAGACTATCAGAAAGGTGATCTAAAAAGATGATGCCTGTGCCATGTTTAAATGTGACTTTGCCGTTTAGAAGGGTAGAGACCAACCAATATATATTTTCCCTGATATTTAAGCATTTTCCCATAATCTGGTTTCGGTTTTGTAGTATCAGATTCACCGAGGGAATCCTTCTGAGGGGAGATGATTCAACAACGGTGTTCCCTCCCTTTAATAATAAACTTAACATAAAAGCCATTAATGCACAAATGAGATATGCTACATAAATTATGAAACAGTGATCTGTCAGCAGGTATATCATAATCTAGAGACCAATAAAAAAAAAAAACATTTATTAATTATTTTGCTAACAAGCCAGGTGAACTCAATAACTGTGATTATCTATTCGCTGTTTTGTTTATTATTCTGACAATGGTTGCATATTCCTGTGAATATAAATAAATATCCGTTCTACAGTATCGGTTATCAGGCACAAATAATTGAAAAAAAAATTTTAAAATCAGATTTTTTTGTACCAGTGGTGTTTAAATGAGGAGGCATTTTTTATTTATTTTTTTAAATCAAATGTAAATTCATGCCCCAGTTCCACTTAATGTTGTCACATTTTCCATACAATTTAAACATCTATTTTGTATTTTTGCATTAAAGGGTAACTAAACCCCTGGCCAGAGCCTGACTCCACCCACTGGCAATATTTGAAAATGCTGAAAAAGTGGACTGACCCCAGCGGAGATAGAGGGGACGAAATAGCTGCTAAAACACTCTATCCTGATCGTTTTCAATACTCACAATTCCAATTCCTGACTCCCTACAGTGGTTTTGACGACACAAGCTGGTTTTTATACTGCCAAGGGCATAGCTCGCTTGGTGAGCTGAAACCTGCATACGTCACGAACATGAAGTGCGGAACATCCAATAGAGAGCCTAAGTCCCGCCCCTCCGCTTCCGGCTCATGGGACCTTATTTCGGAAAAAATATGAATGGTAGTCAATGGCGAGAGACAACTTATCTTTTTATTCCGTCTGAACTGTGCCCTCAATTACACACATGATGTTTGTCAATTTAAAAGACAATTCTGAAAGTCAAAAACGTCGCAGTTTGTCATACAACAGAAGAGTAACATTTACTTTTATGTGAAAATCGCTCTGTGAACTACATCTCCCGGGAAGAGAAACAAGATCCGCTGCCCGTGTGTGTGCAGTTTGGTACAAAACACTCAGGCATGACGGCGTAACGTTACGATTATAACGTAAGACTGTAGAAACAATGACAGACAGCCTCAGTAAAGTTAGCTTCATTCATTGGGAGAAAATGTGCGCCTTTGGGGTTTGTAGTCTTTACGTATTTTCACAGTCTTATACCTCAACGGTTTTACATCAAACTGCGACTTTCTTTACTTTAAAATGTATCTTTTAAATTGACAAACATCATATGTGTAATTCAGGGCACAATTCAAACGAGATCAAAATATTTGTTGTCTCTCGCCATTGACTACCATTCAATGTTTTTCCGAAATAAGGTCCCATGGTGGTCGACCGGAAGGGGAGGGACTTAGGCTCTCTATAGGAAAATTCAACTGCAGTAGCCACTGTTCAACCTGAAGAGGGCAGCACTAAGACGTTTTTACACCATATATTGTAGAAATAGAACACTTTATAAACAAATGTCAAAAAAGTTACTCGAATCAATGACTGGTATTAATAGAGATCCATTCTTACAGATCATTAACTAAAAAAAGTTGGTTTAGTGTTTAGTTACGCTTTAACAATCTCTCAGCTTTCATTAAAAAAAAAAAATCTTCATTTGTGTTTTGAATATGAATGAATGTCTTTCGGGTTGGGAACAATATGGGTGAAATAATGCTTTAAAGTCTCTTTCCTCAGTAACGTCATAACTGGATGTATTTGAGAAGAGAAAGACACCTGTGTATCTATGATCATGTAGCCCTCACTTGTGCATTTCAGTAGCAATCTCTCAAGGCTCTTCTATTTGTTGTTGCTGCTCGTCTCCACAGTCCCCTCAGCATAGGACCAATAAGAGTATTAACTTAACTTAGTTGACAATGATAATGAGAACAGGCTGAATGAATGAGAAGAGTACTCATTACTGTACTTTTTTGTTTCACTGCCTTTAATTAACAGATTTTAAGCACACTTACTTCCCCACACAGGAATGTCTTTGCTCTCTGCTTTCATCACAATCGACGCCATGGTCATGGTGACGGGAATAGCGTCGAAATATGACGAGTGAGGGCCGAGGGTGAGGATGGGCGCTTCGGTGGGCAGAGCCCTTCTGCCTTTAACACTGATCCAGTGGAAGCCGCCCGCGAACCACATGACCCGCATGATGGTCTTCAGCACCACGTCCACCACCCTACAGAAGAAGAGCGAGTCTGAGATCAGACCACATGCAGCATCATTCAGACGAAAGGTTTGGGAACATCAAGGTGGAATGTTTCATTAGTGCGAGTGTAGTCAGAGCACCAGTGAGCTGTTATGTATGCTAGGTCTGCACCACACTGGGGGAAAAAAATACTAGGATTTTATTTTTAAACACACTCTGTATTTTGCAGAAGTGAACACTTAGTTCACACAAGTTTAAATTTACTGTATTTACTGTCTATTTTAAGGCAAGCCAAAAATATTGTCTCAGATGATACACATATCTTACATTTGTATTTTAATTTGCTACCATCGGGTAGACGATTCAGGGACGTAATGTGCATTAAAATCTTAAATAGAGATTTCTTTTAAATGTATGTACCGTAGTATGCTGCTAGTTCTTAAATATTGCATTGAAATGTGTTATTTTCTTATTATCGCCTGTTATTGTATATGTTGTGTTGTATATGATTGAAGTTGTGCACTGACCGTGTCATGCTGTTCAAGACAAATTTCCCAGCAATGGGACAAAGTATAAAGTAAAGTAAAGTAAAAGCAAATGTCCTGTACTAAACATTTTTTATTTCATAGAAAATGTTACTAAATAATTAAAATTAAATTATATAATTTAATAATAAATAATAATTTAATGAAACTAAATAAATCAAAGTCATATGTGTGTAACCAATCTGTGTTCCAAATTTGAAGTTGATATCATAAACATTAAGCCAGCAAAATGGTTTTGAAGAACCATTTCCATGGTAATGCAATGACGAATGCAAACAAATTATACTTAATTTATGATGGTTACTAAAATTTGTGATATGGGAAAAAGCAATAAAAATACGCCCACCAAGTGTTGACACTGACCGTTAACAGGCTATAATAAAAAGCATATAGTAACAATGATATATATATATATTAATAAAAATTTCTTTTTGGCAAATAAATATGGAGGTAAATGCATGTACAGACAATAGTACATGATGCAGAACATTGTATTATAAGCTGCATGTTACCCTGAAATTCACATTACACATTGTTTATGTATTTATTTTTTAATTAAATGACAGCCTTTGCAATTTCATAATCACACTAAGCAATATGATGATATTGACTTTATTTCCATATGTCACAAAGAGCTAATCTATTCAGTTGAGTTCCTTAACTATAGACATCAGGCATCATGCACCACACAACACACAGTACACATGCATCCCTGATGTCCTATGAATGTGGTTTGAGTGCTCAGATCACTATTGATAACTATATTAATACCAGGTTTAAATAGGGAGCAAACATTATATTGCAGTGCAGACGGGCAAACGCTAAGACACCTGTGAGCCTAATCTGAGGGGCAATGGAAAGCATTACTGAGTCAGGTTCTGCCCACAGGAGGGTGCTTAACCATCTCACAGCTCAATAAGACACAACCGCTATTAGGAGGTCATGTGAGGTTATTAGTAGTTATTAACGTCGCTGGACGTAATTAGCATCTTTAAAAGGAGTGTTTAATTAGATGCTGGATCTACTGTACAGAAAGAGGATGTTTCCCAGTGGGCATCTTGAAATAGCCATTGAAAGGACAACAGCATGTGTATGCGTGTGTGTCATTGAGGCTCAGTGTGACAAAACGTCTATGTGACTGTGCCTCATATCTGCATTACGCACAATTCAAACACTCCTCAGCTGAATATATACACTTACGTTCAAAGATTTGGGGTTAGTAAGCAGATATTAATACTTTTATTCAGCAAGGATGCATTAAATCGATCAAAGAGACATTAAATGCAATGATAATTCATTTATAATAATTATAAGAATTGTCACTTGATTAATGTCATGCATCCTAGCGGAATAAAAGTCAGCCTATATTTCAATTAAACGTTGTTCTTTTGAACTTTATATAAATCAAAGAATTCTGAAAAAATAAAACGTACCCGTTTCCACAAAAATATGAAGCAGAATAACTGTTTTCAACATTAATAATAATAAAATGTTTCTTGAGCAGTAAATCATCATATTAGAATGATTTCTGAAGGATCATGTGAAATAATGATGCTGAAAATTCAGCTTTGCATTACAGGAAATTTTAAATTAAAATTTAAATAAATTTAAATAATATTTAAAATACAATTTTAAATTTTAAATAGATTGGCATATAACACAATTATTTTACATTTTGATAATATTTCACAATATTTATGTTTTCACTGTATATTTCTGATAAAATAAATGCAGCCCTGGCCAGTATAAGAGACTTCTTTGAAAAGCATCTTACCAAGCCTGAACTTTTGAACAACGGTGTAATAATTATTAAAGTAGGCATGCTTTCACGTTCACGCTATTGAAAAACACTTTTTTTTTTGCATTAGGATCCAGTGGTAGAAATAGAGAAGCTGCTAGCTGCGATTGTGTTATGCTGGTCTTGCATCGACACTGGACATCAACTTCCTGATTTATGAAATAGAGAATCTGAAGTCAAATTCATCTCACCACAAACAAAATCATAAACAGCAAGATACGAGAAGGAAATATACAAAGAGTGTGTATTTAATCCTGAATAAGTATGCGAACGCTGTAGCCGCTTGTTTTCAGTTGTTCTCGCTGCAGTGTCTATCTGTGATTTGAAATAAAGGAGAGGAGGTCTTTACTTTCTCCATAAGCACTGCGGCTCCACCGTTGTCTCGGAGCGGCCCACGGACGCGATGAAGGCAAACGGCCAGGCCAACAGCATCATGAACGCCGCAATGAAGAGCCGAATGGGGAACACAGTCACTGTCATCAAACCAATCTGCAGAGAAAATGACAAACAAACAAACCTTTTAAAAGGAACCACTTCTAAACAGCAGAGAAATGGGTCACATTGGCTGTTAAAGGTTCACAGGGGTCAGATCTTGTATGAGTTCATTTTTATGGAAGCCTATTTCCAACACATAAGAGAAAAAAACAAAATGTTGTGGTAAATCAAACATGACATACTAAGTTAAAAATGAATGTTATGAATATCAAAAATGTATATCATAACTGTATAATGTAATTACAAAAACATCAAAACTCTGCCATACTACATCAATTATGACGGGTAAAAAAAAAATGTATGAAGTGATTGTCAATTTCAAGATTTTAAATGTCAGTTTAAACTTTTTAAAGCAACTCATAATAATATGTCATAATTCCGACTTTTCATCTTGTGTCATATTTATGTTTTACAAAAGTGTGTCTCGGAAAAGGGCTTCAATACATTATTATACTATGAAAACATGAAACTTTCAGAGCTCAAAACAGCTCAAAAGTGTCCAGAGTGAAACGAGAGCATGTACTGACAAACATAAATCAAGTACTTGCTTAGTTACCACCAGAATAGAGAAGTTCATTTAGTTTTTTTTTTCCCCACAAACCGACAACCAGTGCTTATTATTTACCGTAAACTGACAAGATTATGTAAAATTAGATTCAGTTCAAATAGAATGAACAAGTGTCTGTGACTCATTAAAAATACCAACATGTTTACCAGAGGTTTAGATACATGTGCAAATAGCAGCAATAAACAACAGAAAATGAGGATTCATCAGTACATCACACAACTGCAGCACAGGGGTGTAACGGTACATGTATTCGTATTGAACCGTTTCGGTTCGAAGCTTCCGGTTCGGTACGCATCCAAACCAAACGGTTGTTTGGACCATTTTTCCTGCTGGCAAAATTCGTGCTGACGCGGCCAACTAAAACGTTGCGCAACATCAAATGGCAAGCGTAAGAAAATCAGAACGAAACTGCGCAACTTTTATGTGCTTCACGGATCGTTTATCAGTTCGGACCAGCAACATCTGTGCAGCGCGAGCTGATCTCGTTTAAGCGACACTGTTACCACACCGCGCTAAGAGATCCAGTGAAGAAAACATTTGAATTCACCTCTGAGGTAATAACATCGCTGCGAGATCTAGTGAGATGCATTCACATTTCTCTGTTATTAACCGTAGATCTCTATTAGATCAAACGTCTAATGTCATGGAAACCAGGAGAAACATATTGTGCCGTGAATGAAATAGTAATACTTTACGTCCACAGACCAGCAACATTCACCATGGATTTATTATAGTAACACTAACTGTAACCAGTTTGGCTGGAATGGTGAAATGCTTTCAAGTACTTCACACATCTTTTTCCAGCACTTCAAAATTCAAATATTATATAAACAAATATATATTTAAAAGTTATTTTTAATGTGATGACCAAAACACTACTTGTTCATCCTACAAAGATGACCCCCATTTATAAACCTGAAAGTTTCAAGATCTAGGAAAACTCACACTTATTTAAAAATATTTTTTCTTTAAACAAATAGGAAATTTCTCTGGCATTTCTTTCTTTTTGCTGTATCGAAAACGCACCGAACCGTGACTTGAAAACCGAGGTACGTACCGAACCGTGATTTTTGTGTACCGTTACATATGTGTAAAAAAAAAAAAAAAAAAAAAACATTATAAAATACATGCAGTTAAAAGGAATTAATATGCGAAATATATTTAAGATTAACAAAACTAAAGAAAAAACTGTGACAAGTAGTAGTTTCGGTTCATTTTTGTGACACTACAAAAATAAGGTAACATAAATGAAATGGAGATGACAGAAAGCGGAATCCTGTTTGTTTTCTTTATTTTACAAAAGCACAATATTTAGTTTGTATTGTGTACACAGATAAAATTAATCCTTTTACAGTTTAAGACTGGAAAAACTGGAAGAGAGGGCAACTCTTAGAGAAAACAATGGGAATTAAAATTTGAACTCTTTCTTGTGAATTTATCATCACCATTTGAGATGCAGGTCTCTCACCTCAGAATACATCTCTTCCCTCATTCCTTCTCTCTCATGCTGAGATCACCAAAATTCACCCAAAAATATATGAAGAGTTCAGATGCAAAAGCCTCTAAATGCCATTTGAAATTTTCTTCTTTAATGATGATTTTTATCAAACTTGTATATTTAAGTTCAGTAATTTCACTTAAATAACAATTAATAGGTAATTATCATTGCCATTTAAGTGAAATCACTGAACTTAAATATACAAGCTTGATAAAAATGATCATTCTAGAAGAAAATTTCAAATGGCATTTAGAGGCTTTTGCATCTGAACTCTTCATATATATATGGTCTAATGTGAATAATTATCATACAGTATAATACAAATGTCTCATTGTCAAAGAAGTAAATCAAAAGGTAATAAAGTTCTTAAGAGTTTAGAGATAACTTGCACACAGAAGAGGGTGTTTTTTCCAGGCAAATGGCATTCTGCTCCCAAAAGGTGTAAATGCAACTCTTAATGCAAATATACCATTGTTAGCAAATGTTTCCATGTGAAAGAAGTTTCTGTCTATATAAAGAAATGCAACAAAGAGGCTCAGGGTGATTTGTAACTCAAATTAGCCTGTGATGTGGAGTGTGTGCAGGCAAGTAGATTAAACAAATCTTAATGTTACCGCAAGTTTTGCGTCAGATTAGTGACGACTAATATTTGACATTAATTCAAGTGTACGTGGTTCACAAAGACAAGAAGTGAATTCCCGTTTAGAACAGCAAAAATGCTGCTTCAACAATCTAAATTCGAGTGCGTCTTACTGTTTTAATTTAATGCTACTTTAGAAAAGCGTACGTGCGAAACAACGGCATGGCCAATCCAAAGCTATTATAAGAAAAGTAATGTTGATCAACTTATATCTGTAATAGTAGCCATACCTCTGTCTGAAGTAAACATTTCAAGTGTATGTACAGTGTATGTAATCACGGGGGTTATACCAAAATAGCTTTGATTGTGTAAGTGGGAATGCAACCGATCTCAGATATATAGCAATTATTTCTGTTTGGTTACCAAAACTGATGAGCTTGTGATCGTGAGACCCGTGTTAAGCAGAAGGTGTGAGGATCTTAGAGCGACGTAGCTTCCTAATATGAATGGATAAAATATGAGTAAAGAGTTAAATAGAACAATCAAATGTATTGCTGAACTATTATATAATTGGCCAATAACTAATTGGCAATCTATCCTAAATTTGAGGTTGTGATATAAAATGGAGTCAGATAAAAGCTTAAACGGTATTCAATTACTTTGCCACACAGAAAGACAGTAATGTGCAGAGTAGTGTTGCATGGTGCACTGATACTTCAAAAGTATACTATACTTTTCAGGAAAAGTATCGTATCGAAATCATAATTCTTGACATCGGTATCGAAACAATAATTTTGGTATCGTGACAACACTAGTGCAGAGACCTTCACCTGTTCTATTGATGCCGTCATTGGGCCAATCTAGACAAGCTTACAATTTCTTACTCTTAACTTTATGACCATAAATGACAGTATTTCCGCTGTAATAAGGAACATATTCAAGTGATCACTCACGCAGGCACATCCTGTGCACACACAGTTACTTGGCTATCTAAATGGGGACATTCCATACACATAATGGTTTTTATACTGTACAAACTAGAGTTGCACGATTTATCGCAATTAACATGAAATCACGCTTAAACCGATTTGGTTTATTGTGATTATGAAATCGCAAGGGGTGCTTGTCAGTGACATACGGCTCTGTTATCAGTACTAAATGTTGCTCCATCTGAAAGCATTGCGAGTTTGAGTCGCTTATCACATGAATTTGAAAAAGCAATACACGCCAAACCTCTTGTCCAAGAAAAGACAACATTTAAAAAAAAAAAAAAAAATCAAAGTGTTTCAATCTTCTGTGTTTTCAGCTACAGAGATAGTATGATACCCATAGAGATTTCCAAGAATGATGCATGTTATCGTTAGCCTGGATGCCAGCCAGAACTCCGCCCACAACATTTTTTTGGTGGGGAAGTTCGGTCTGGACTCGATCCACTGAGGAGTAATTATGATCGGTTCAGAAATCGTTGGGCATATCAAATTGCCAGGGCGGGCTTAATACAACGATGGACAGATGATCTGCAGTTATGTGATCACGTTATAGTAGAGCGCTTGGTTTGAACTGGTTTCCCTCAAAGATGACTGCAGCTGGAGAATTGAGATGTATAGATTCCGCTATTGCGTCTGTTGTAAAAGAAATCGACAGCACATTCATTTTAAAGGTCCCCTGACATGAAATTTTCATTTTCTGAGGTTTTTTAACATTCATATGAGTTCCCCTAGCCTGTATTTGGTCCCCTCGTGTCTAGAATTTTCAATCGGTGGAAACCGAGCTTTGGCTATTTTTCTTTTCTCTGCAGCTCAGACGCGCTGATCTTGAATCTTGAAAGATTACCTCCCCATTCTCTGCTTTGCCCGCCCCGGAGAATTTGGCTGGCCCCTGAGAAAACGAGCTAGGAACAGGACTTACAAACACGCAGGCACGATTTTAATTTTTCCTAGAGAAATAGCTTTGAGATTTGAGTGTTTCCTCGAGAGATATCATGGCCTGCAAACGAGCAAAGCATGGCAGTTGATCAGTGTTCGGATGTACAAATGAATCCAAAAGTATTTTTAGTTCCTTCATCCGAGCCTCTGAAGAAACAATGGGTTAATTTTATTTTCTCTGGAAATGCGCCGACTCAACTCCCAAAGTTTTGTATGGTCCAAACATTTCACCGACGACTGTTTCCTCAAGTCGATGAACGTCTGAAAATAAGTCGATCGAGCTAACGTCTGCAACAATTTCTGATGTGCAGCCTAATGGCGCGTTTCCACTGAGTGGTACGGTACAGTTTGGTTCGGTACGCAATTATTTGCGTTTCCACTGTCAAAACTTGTGAAAGGTACCAAAAAGCCGAACCGTACCGT